CCCATTTTCTCAGCAAGCTCTTTGTAAGTGATGTCTAAAGCACACTCAGGTCATAATTCATTATCTGCCTAATGACTGAACGAACAAACAAAACTAACCAGTTGATTCAAAGACAAGTGGGTTATTGTTGTCATTTATTACTTGAGGACACAGCAGTCATAAGAATTAAGCTAACTCTGTCCTCACTAGGCCAAATCAACCCTCTTTCTACAGCAGATGCAGCAGGTTTTTGGAGGGAGCCTCAAAATGAGTGAGCCGTAATGTGAGACAAAATATTTGGGAAATACAGTAGCTCTCAGGACTTCAGCTCAAAGTCTTACCTGCTAATATTTTCTAATGCCTTTAGTTATTTTTAACTGAACGCTTAACCATAGCTTCCAAGATAGGAGAGAGAACTACTGATAAAACAACTTCGTCCTCAAACCACTATGACTGAGACAGTCACTGTCCTACCCACAATACTTTAGTTTAAAAGAGCTGGGTCAGAAATCAGACGGCTCAGCCTCTCCATTCAGCAACCTTGTGGATGAGAATACCTAGGAAGCTTCCCACACCTGTTTTTTTAAATAAATAAGGAATAAAAATACCAACACTTTCCTGAGAACTTAAATGAGAAAAATGTAAGAATAAAACATCCCCCCTAAGCAGGCGCCACCTGTGGCTCAATGGGTAAGGCACCGCCCCTATATACCGAGGGTGGTGGGTTCAAACCTGGCCCCGGCCAAACTACCGCAAAAAAAATAGCTGGGCGTTCTGGCAGGCACCTGTGGTCCCAGCTCCTGGGGAGGCTGAGGCAAAAGAATCACCTAGGTCCAGGAGTTGGAGGTTGCTATGAGCTGTGTGACACCACAGCACTCTACCAAGGGCGATAAAGTGAGACTCTGTCTCTACAAAAAAAACAAAACAAAACCAAAAAATCCCCTAAGCATGATGAAGTGCCACTCGAATGCAGAGAGCAGTATTTGTTCTAAATAAATGACGATGTTTAGGGAAGAAACTGAAAAAGAAGAAACACAAGAGGCTGCTTTTTCTCTCTACTCCCCACCACGGAGACACACACGGGAAGACAGACGAGGACAAAGCAGACTACACATCTAAAGGCATCATGCTAGGGACCAGGGCTTCAACGTACTAATTTTAGGGGATGTACTTCAATCCATAGTACCAAATTTAGTAAAAGATAATTAAGTTGGTAGGTCCTGGTTAGCAACAGAAGCAGAATGGAATTTTGCATTTGACACGATAAAGATGTAACCATATTGTATTTCTGAAGAGAACAGAATGCTTGGTTCTCCATGACTGACGAACGGATGTGAAACAGAAAAGGAGGCGGGGCACAGTGGCTCAGCCTGCAGTCCCCGCACTCTGGGAGGCTGAGGTGGGAGGATCGCTTGAGCCCAGGAATTCAAGACCAGCCTGAGCAACATCGTGAGACCTCCATCCCTACTGAAAAAACGATGAGTTACGTCGTCTCCTCTGCCACTTCTCATGTCAGCTGAGTAGTCTGGGTCTCTACTCCAGGTTAGGGTCTGTCAACTTTGTTAATCTTTTCAAAAGACCAACTCTGTTTCACTGATTCTGTTTTTCTATTCTGTTTCATTTCTCTACGCTGTGATCTTTATTACTTCCTTCCTCCGTCAACTTTGGGTTTAGTTTGTTCAGCTTTGGGAGGTAATGTTTGACGTCAGACCTGTCTTGCTCTTTTTTAATGTAGGTATTATCACCACAAATGTCCCTCTTACTACTGCCCTTGCTGCAGCCCGTAAGAGTCCTGGTAAGTTGTGTTTTTATTCTCATGTGTCTCCAGATGTCTTCCATCTGATCTCTTCCTTGACCCGCTGGTGATGAGGGTGTTGTTTACCTGCCACACACTGTGACTTCTCCCATTCTCCTTCTGCTGTTGGTTCTGGTTTTAGTCCACTGTGGTAAGGGAAGATGTTTGGTATAATCTCAACCTTCCTAGCTTTGTCAGCCTTGTTTAGTGGCCTGCCAGGTGGCCGCCCTGGAGAATATTCCTGAGCACCTGAGAAGGACGTGTGCCCTGCTGCTGCCCAGGGAAGTGTCCTGCCTGTCTGTCAGGTCCAGCTGGGGGCTGTGCAAGTTCCCTGCTTCCTTACTGACCTTATGTCTGGTTGTTCTACCCATTATTGAAAGTGGAGTGCTGAAGTCTCCTACTATTACTATTTTGGCTACTTTTGTCAATTATGAATAAGGTTGTAAGTGCTAAAAAATTATATAATACTGAATCTGACTTAACACAAAATTAAAAGAAATACATATTGCTTTCTCTGAGAAATATCATTTGAATGTGTAAATCATGATATTATTAAGCATGTAAGCATGATGGTCGTGTATATCACAACATATTCCATGTTTATATTGTGCAAAATAGATACAACATTGGACTGGAAGTCAAAAGGACTGATTTCTCTCTCTCTCTTTTTATTTTATTTATTTATTTATTTTGAGACAGAGTCAGGTAGAGTGCAGTGTGTCCAGGCTCAACTGAAACTCATGACTCAAGCGAGCCTCCTGCCTCTGCCTCTCAAGTATCTAGGATTATAGGTGCCCACCACAATGCCCAGCTCATTTTTCTATGTTTACTAGGGTCAGGGTCTCACTCTTGCTCAGGCTGGTCTTGAAATCCTGAGCTCAATGACCCCTCCTACCTGGGTCTCCCAGAATATTGGAATTACAGGCATGAGCTACCATGCCCAACCTAAAAGAATGGATTTCTAATCTTAGGTATTACCAAATCTTTAATGTCTTTGCTTTAATTTGTTAAGATATATGAAACAGTATAAATGAAAGCAGAATAAACTGAAGACAGAATCATTTTAATTGTCCTTTAAGTGAGATATGAACAATTAGCTAAGAAGCTCAATTCCTAAACCGTAATTCCTATGCTGCTTCAGATAATAGGCTGTAACTCTTCTTGACATACAGTATAGATACCCTATAAACATAAGTAAGATTAAGGAAAGCACAGATGGACCCTTCAGAGCACCTAGCAGAATGCCGGTATATACTCAAGAACCATCTGCTGCAGTGAACTGAAAAAACTGAACACCCTCTACAGACCACTTTCTAAAAAGAGTGCAGGCTTGGCACC